CCGAAAGCTTTCGAAACCCACTCGGGGAACGCGTGGCCCGATAGCTTGGTCAAGCTCAAGCCCAACTTCGGCCACGCAGGTGCTTCCCAAAAGGCAGGGGGCGGCGGTGATTCGCCGTAGGCGTCTAAGATATACATACGCACACGTACATATATGTGTAGGTATACACACCGGTATACATATTTATGAATACTATAGATATTTAGATATCTAGATATCTCGCTCACTCTTTACGTTTCTCTCTCTCTCTCTCTGTTATTCCCTGTCATGTTATGGTGGCGTTCGCTATCTCACTCTCTCTCTCTCTCTTTCTCTCGCTCTCTCTCTCTCTGGCTCTTGCTTTGTCTTTTTCGTTTCTCCCTCTCTCTCTATCTATCGATCGGCCGATCATATCGATTGTTGATCACTCGATCTCACGCTCGATCTCGCTCTCGTTCTCTATATCTCTCCCTCCCTCTTTCTCACGACGAATCTATTGATCGACCAACCTGTCAGAGGGCCGGCTCGCGCGCCGAGGCCGCGCTCCCACGCGGGGGCGGGGGGCCTCTGCCGAGCGAAGCAGGAGCCTGCCCTCGCGGGGCGGGGCCGCGCTGAAAGCCCAGATGGGGTACTCGCGGGTAGAAGCTCTCGGAGCTAGAATTAGGTCGGGCATGTCCTCCTACAGGCGGACTTCGGAGGAAAAATGAAAGACAGTCACGGGGTGCTTTCCAACGGCTGCGCCACGCCGAGGGCGCTCCGAGGGGGGGGGGGGCCACAGGATCGTCCCGAGGGGCCGCCGGAGGCGCGAGTCATGACGCGGAAGCGAAGCCAGGCGGCTCGCCCAGGGGGGAAAGGCAGAGGTGGGCGGACCTTTTTTCAAAAGGACCAGGATCAGGGACAACGACAGGGGGCGGGAGCATCGACCTCTACTCGGAGATACGTCGCCGATAGGTCGGCAACAGGCCCCCGATAGCAAGACTGAACGTTCCGGGGCAGGGTGGGGCTATCGGGTCACCATCGCCGATCCATGGGCCATTGGGGGTCGATGTGCATCGCCCCCTATGCCTATCCCCCCTATCGTTGCACCTGGGGGGGGCCTCAGGCCCTCTGGCAGGTATGCTATAGGCCTCCTCCAAGGCCACAACATGGCGTCTCGGAGAGCCGCAGGGCTTCTCAGCAGCCCCGCCGCCTTCTGAGGAGGCCTGCGCCCTCTCACGTCCCTCCTCGGCGCGCCGCCGGGCTTGGCCCTCGTGCTGACTACCTACCAGACCACCCCAACCCAACCCGAAGACCCGAATTTCGGGTTGGGGGGGGTAAGGGTTCCACATGTGTTTTTTCGATGTTTCCCGACCCCCCCCCACTAGAAATCGAGGGCAAATCTGAGCCTTCGGGTTGGGTTGGGGTGGTTTGGTGGGTGGTGACGTGCGCACTAGCTCGGGTCTCCGGTGGCCGCTCAGGACGATCATTCAGGCACCCAAGGGACGCCCTCGGCGAGGTGCAGCCGTTGGAGAGCACCCCGAGGGCCGGAAAACCTGCGGGAACCGACGGATGCACCCGACAAAAGCTTCTTGTGGCCTCCAACCCGAAACTCCCAAACGTCCCCTCTCGGCGCGCCCCCTCTTCCACCCCATGCAGAGGCCTCCTAGATGGGGTCGGAGTAGATGGGTCGGAAGTTTGCGCCGCATCACAGATCCACTGCCGATGCATCGGCACAGTGGCGATGCATCGGCGACGTCGGCGTGGAGAACATCGGGCTGCACATCGAGCCGCATCGCCGATGCATCGGCGATGCGGCGCGATCCTCCGACCCCCTCCGGGAGGCCCGGGACCATCGGCGCGCCGCCCAGATCGGGGAGGGGGGGCGGGGGGTCGCCGCGGCGGCCCGCAGCGCGCCTCCTGGAGCAGCGCCGCGGTGCGGACCGAGAACTCCTGCGGCAGAGGGGGGGCAGGAGGCAGGCAGGTGCAGGACGGGCATGTCCTCCTGCAGGCGGATGTTGCAAGAAGACTAGAGGTAGTCAAACAGATACTCAAGCCAGTCAAAAGAGCAAGTACAGCGTCCCCGGACTATTGTTGGCACTGTTCTTGAAGATCCCTCCAGGAATTAGGGGGTCATGCCTGACAGACAGGTAGGTCAAATTAGCAATGCCGAGGAAGTCAGAGCGCCCCACCCATTTCCATCGTGCCTCAAGCTCAAATCAGGTGGGGCACAACGTGAAGTTGGGATTGGAGCGCGCCCCCCACCTCGGAAGCGGAATGCGCTCTCGCGCGCGGCCCCGCTTCCGACGGCCTGGAGAAGGGATATAACTACACGGACCCAGCAGGGGCAGGGGCGGCCCAACTACCGATGGGCGCGGCGAAGACGAAGCATGCGCCGCGCTGGTACAGCATGAACTCGACCACAAGAAACCCGGCGCAGAACCATCGAAGCCCAAGAAACCCAGGGCACCCTGGAGGCAAGCAGGGTGCTTCTTGGCATGGGCCTCCACGCGTCATGACGAGACCCGGAATGGCTTCCGACACCGCGTGGACCTTCCGTCCTTGAACGGTCGACGGCTTTTAGACCGCCAGGTCGCTCCACGGTGGCCGCTTCCGGGCCACCGCCGGCGTCCCACCTTGAACGCCCACGCAGGGGCTGCAGCCGCGTCGGCGCGACAACACGGAGGTGGAGGTGGAGGTGAAGGAGGAGGAGGAGGAGGAGGAGGAGGAGGAGGAGGAGGACGTGCCGTGGCATCGCGAAAGCAATCGCATCAGCATGGCGGCAACTCGCGCGCGTGCCGTTCGCCTCACGAGCCGGGAGAGAGAAGAGGTCGCGATACGGATCCGCAGCCCCACTCGAGCGGGGTGAGGCCGAGGCTGCACATGGGGATTCGACATGATGCCAGACGTAAAAAAAGGCACCGGCCCTGAGGGGGGGAAGCAATGAGAGGAGGAGGAGGAGGAGGAGGAGGAGGAGGAGGAGGAGGAGGAGGATGAGAAGCGAGGCGAGGGGGACTGACGATGGCGCAGCGCGTGCATCCCCACATGGCCCAACCGTCCATCAATATGCTTAGGCATCACACCACAGCAAACGTAACAACAGCGCGCAGTACACATAAAGCAACTCCAAGCCCAGGCGGCCTAACGGCTGATCAAACAACTCCCCACCTATTCGATCCCACGAGGGGCGGAAGCGAGAAGGGATTGGACGAAACCCTGAGGCGAGCAGGGGGCACGCTAGCAAGCGGGCAGGGCCGTACAATCTGGGACGAGATCCAGCATATGAGCGACGCTCAAGAAGGGGTCTTACGCGAGATGACGCAGCGACCTTACGGCGCGGCTTATTCGGGCCGCCAGCGCGGCACGCTACATTGGAGACGCGAGGCACTTACGCGCGACCTTACGCGGGCAGCTTACACGCCAATGTGGGCGCAGACGACCCCTTGTTTTTTTGCGTCGCCGATATGATACCAGGGCGCAAGCAATCACCAATCTGAGCCGTGAGTGGAGGCACGGCAGTGCCCCACAGCATCGGGGGACTGACTCAATTCTGCGAGAGGGCGAATTCTGGGCGACAAGAGCGGCCCGTGGGGTCGGCCAACCGCGGCGGTGAGCTCAGTCCACACACGCTCCTATCCCACCATCTTGTACGTAGCACGTTGCTTCCCGAGCGGTATTTCCAGACATCGCCCGCCACGGAGCACAGAATTGCTCGACGCGCGCGTCACCCCCTTGGGGGCGACGCACACACAACATTAGTAGTAGGTCAGGCATGTCTTCCTACGGGCTGAGTTTGGATGAAACATCAAACAACTGTTCAAACATAATTAATGAAAAAATGATCGAAAAGCCGTCCCCAGAATACGCTTTGCCTATTCTTGAAGATTCCTCCTGCAGAAGGACAGGCCCGACGGCGCCGACACGATGTTCGAGCGGGGCCGCACGCGTGCCAAAACCAGCCATCTGCAACGAGCCCCTGTGGCAATCTCAGAGTGCCGGGTCGGACAAGAGGGGGGACGCACTCGCGTCGAGGAAAGCGCCAGGCGGCCGGGCAGAGACCAGCATTCGGTGGCAGCTGATGGGAGCCTCCCGCGCGCACCATCTCCAGAGAAATCCAACGTATTGGAACAAAAACAAGGCAGATGTTTTTCGCAACTTTCGGACTCTGGGGGACCTCGCCAGGCCCAGGGACCGTCAAAAAACCATCGGTCCTGGGGAATGGGTCGAGGCTTCCGGGGGGCCGACATCGGATCTCTGGGTTGCTGGCTCTTGCGACTCGACGCTGGCCGATGCGAATGTACGCTAGATCGGCGCTTTGGCATCAATTGCCAGACGCTCGCGCACGCGATCGCACTCGAAAGAGGGAGTTGCGAGGACACGCGAAGCTACCATGACGTGCGACCGAAGCAGCAGCACTCAGCAGACATCGTACCCTCTCCCCACGCATCCCCCGCCCTTCTCGTCCGACCAGAGGGTTGGGGGAGCCCGGGGGGCGCAGCGCGCTCCTGGGCGCACGTTGTTGTTTGTGGTGCAGCGTTTCCCCGGCATCCGCGCACCCCGTTGGATCCACATGGCGGGTTCCAGAAACCCTGGAACGGGAAATTGCCAGCTCTTGGGAGGCCGGTTTGAGACGTCCCTGTTTTCAAACGCGACTCCCATTGCCTCGGAAGTTTAGCGGGGGCCCCAGCACAACCGTGAAAACGACGCGGCGCGTTTCCAATCCGAAACGAGGCCCTGAAACGGACAGCGGACGCGGAGCGGTAGGCCGACAGGCCTCAGCCCCGCACCCCGCGCACCCCCACGCTCGTGGAGGCGGCACCTGCGAGGGCGCCCCCCCCGCCCCCCCCTGGTGGAAGGGAGGCGCAAAAAGTCCGCCGCACCTTTAGCGTGGCCCCCTTCTAAAATATTTCCCGAGCTGCGTCTGTGAGGCGGGGAGGGGGAGAGGGAGGTCGAAAGGGGGGTAGAGGAAGAAGAGGGAAAGTTCTCGGCGGCAGCGGCAAAGCCTTGCACCTCACGGGAGGATGCAGGTGCTGGCGTAGACGTCCTCAGTCCTGGACCCCCTTGTCGCCCTTGAGCGCCAGCGACTCCACCCCTTTGGCCACCTTCGACCTCATCGTCATGTCGTACTGGAGGCTTACGCCCACTACGGCCATCGCCTCCTTCAGCGCCTCCTTCAGCGCCTCCTTCAAATTCAGGTAGTGGTTCACCGCGAAGATCCACTTGAACTCGCCCTCCACGGGGGCCGCCCCCTCGTTCTTGCTCTTCACCTAGATGCACCTCGTCGCCACGAACTTTAGCTGCTGGTCCTGCACCACCGCCCCGTTGCGCAGGCGCTCGTCCAGCACGGCCTTGGTTCCAAACGGCTCGATGTCCTGCGTGGCGGCCGCCAGCACCGCCTCCTTCATGCCCTCCACGGCCTCCGCCACGCGGAACAGGGCTACCCGTGCCTGCGCGTCTGGCCGCTTGCCGATCAGGTTGCCCAGGAAGTCCTCCTTCTCCTTCACCTTCGCCTTGGCCTTGGCGCCCTCGTCCACGCAGTGCGCCAGAGCCTGGTCGAGTGTGATCGCCATCTTCTGCGACGGCTTGGGTGGGATCGCGAAGTTGTCGCGGTGCGCCGCCCTCGTCATGTCCTCGTAGTGCAGGGCCAAGCTGCCGAGCGCCGTGCCCGGGGTGCCCACCACGTCGGGTCGGTCGTCCTTGCCCTCGCCCCTGACCCCTGCCTCGACCAGCGCCCCCATGTTGGCGTGGCTGCCCACCAACGCCAGCACCTCGCTGTTCGGCTGGAACATCGCTGGCAGCAGCTGGGGCGAGCTCGGCAGAGGAGACCGCGGGCGCTGGAAGTTCTGCAAGTCTGGCTGGAGCCTCAACTCCACTAGAACGGGCCGTACAGCGTTTCTGTTTAATGTGCCTCACCAGCGTGTCTTGCCTTGTGAATGTCTTCTGGCAGTGGCGGCATCGCTTTTGCTTCAGGCCCGTATCCGTGAGGGCTTCGGCTGCTGGGTTTGCATATACCTTATGAGCTGCAGGCTTGTGGTTGTTGGCTAGCCCCTTTTCCCCATTGCATTTTTGACCACGCACGTCGCACTCCAGCCACAAGATGGCTGCAGCATCAGTCACAGCGTCCGCCTCGTCGCCATAAGTCAGCACACGGCGAAGGTAGCGCGGCTCAAGGGCGGCGAGCCAGCGCAGCCACGGCTCGGCCAGCTCAGGTAGGTCGCCGCGGAGCTGAAAGAGCCGACGGGCAGTGAGCTTCTCCTGCACGTCCGCGGTCTGCCACAACTGCCGCATGTCGTCCAGCAGCATAGTCAGCATGCCCGACTGCTCCCCCTGGCCGACCCTCTCAAACGAGAATCGGCCGAAGATGGCCGCCCTGACCGCCAGCGTCGGGTCGTGCAAGTCATCGCTGGGCCCCCTGAAAGCAGGCCACATCACTTGTCGCCACCGCCTCAACATTCTAAGTAACAGTGTGCTCGTAACAGTCGGCGTACGGGCCCGCTTCCTGATCTCACGGTTGGTAGTCTTATGCAGGTGGGCTGGCAAATTCAACAATCCACGAAGCTTCTTCACTTGCCAGCTCTCCAACTTGTTCAGCCCCCGCTTGGCGAGGTGCGCGACCTCCAGGCAGTGCAAGCACACCGAGCGGACAAGCGCCTTCCACAATCTGATCTTCAACTTTGCACTGATACCACTCCTGAACGCACGGCGCAGCAGGCGAGCATGAGTAGAGTTGGCTGCCTTGATGCGGTTCGTGACCTCTGCTTGGTGGGTGCCCGACGCCGCCAGTTGCACCCCCAAGTACTTGACCGTCGGCTACGGGCGCAACGGGAAGTAGTCGTCGTCTTCCCACGTCTTTATGCCAGTCGTACGTGCTCGAATATGCGTCAAACTGTTCTTACTGCCGGCCCCCGACGGCGTGAGCAGCATCTCGGTCTTCCTCCCGTTGACTCTCATGCCGCCAGCCTTGATCTCACCCTTCAGTACTTCCAGGATGATGGATGCATCGTCGTACTCCCCGATTTCAGCGAACGTGAGCAAACCATCTAAGAACTTCAACTGAGAAGCGTCCAGGGCCTCGCACTCGTCCTCTTTCAAACAATCGTTGCACCTGATCCTCTTGAGCGTGGGGTCGTAGTACACCTTGATGGCTGGATACTCCAGCTGCTGTAGCTGGTCCGTTATCCGATATACAATCCCATCATAGACCGCCACAAAAGGGCCTGGACTCTCAACACCTCCTTGTCGCACCCCTTGTTTGACCCAGATCCGAGCATCTGGCACACGAGTGGTGACATCACGGAACAGGTAGCACATGCCCCCATGGAGCTCCTCCAGGGTCGCACGGGCATCCCTCCGTAGTTCGAGCGCCTCCAAGCTTTGCCAAATATCCTGGCGTACCACCGCGTCGAAAGCCTTCTCGATGTCCGTGAGGACCGCCAACAGCATAGGAGGTGGGGCTGAAGTGCTTCCTCGTCGCTTGGCTCGGTGCTCTTTCTGATGCCGAACAATCACTTCGCCTGCCACTGCCACCGCGTCTCGCGTGCCCCGCCCAGGCATAGCTCCGAACTGCGTTGGTGAAATCTTGTGCGCCACCTCCCTCATCCCGTCAAGTGTGGTGACCTTGGCGTATGCCTTGCCGACGTGGTTGATCAAGTTGATGGTACGGTAGTCCGTCGATGCCGTGCAGCCGTCGCCCTTGGGTTTCCTCAACTGCATGGTCTCACCCTCGTTGAACCTCTGAGGTGCGTCGCCCAGCGCCTGCGCCACGTTGAAAAACCTGCAAGAGAGGCGGCGCGAGCGTGTCTATCGCCAGCTTCCAAGACTCAGCAACAGCGCCCCCAGGCGGCCCCCTCATAGGCCACTGCAGCATAGGTCCCCCCTTCATGTTGGGCAAATTCGTGATACTCTCCTTCACCTCCGCAAGGCCATAGCTGCCGATCCTATCATCATCTCGCTCCTTCCTGCCAACTTGAAGAGGCCGCTCGTCAAGACTCATCGCCGTGCCGTCGCAAACGTCGCAGATGCTCTGGATACGCACTCGCTGGTCGTCCTCAGCATCGAAACGCGGCAGCCCAGGGTTCGGGTCTTTCGCTGTCATGATTGCCGCCGCTGGCTTCGGGGGTTTGAGACGTCCGCACACACGCGCACTACCCCCAATGATCCGTCGGCGCAGGAGGTCTAGTGAGGGGCTCTAAACTACCGTGTGGACGGCGCTGGAATAGGCACTATGCTAAACCAGAAGCCCAACGAAGGGCGAGCAAAGGCAGGTGGGTATCTTCGTGCCCCAGCCCCGCCCCTACGCGCCCTCCAGCTGGAGGACGGCTCTGTAAGGGCGGCCCCCCCCCCCGTTTGAGACGTCCGCCAGCTCCCGCCGGCCTTCAAAACTGGCCTCCGCGGGCAGAGAAGCGGCCTCGTGCTGCTGCCGCGAGGTCCCCGCCGGCCTCCCGCCGAGGGAGAGGCCACGGCCCCTTCGGCCCTCGAAGGCGAGGAACCCTTTCTGGAAGGCCCCACGTGGCGTCCGAGCAGAGGCGCGGGAGCATCGAACTCGCCCCGCTCGGGTGTGCCGCAACGTGGCCGCCGGCCAGCAACGAGGCGGATGGAGGTCTGGCCCCAGTCGGCGGCGAGCCGGGGAGGGGGGGAGGTTAAGAAGGGGCGGGCCTCCTCAAAAGGCTCGGAAGACCGCTGGCCTTTTGAGGAGTCTTCCAAAACCTCCCCCGGAGACGCAGACAACTTAGTTCTCGGACGGCCACAGGGCCTCCGAGAAGCCCCGCAGACGTCTGATAATGCCTACCACTACATGCTCTTAGAACCACAAGATGCTCTGGAAACAAAAACCATGTTCTTAGAACATCAACCCGATGTGTCAAACAAGGCAGACTCAGCCACAGAAATGTTTTAAGAACATCTCGTGCAAACCACAAAAATCTGGTGGACCTATGGGCGAGCCCGGGCGCTTCCCGCACAGGCCAGAGAGGGCGCGCTCCTGGACGAACTCGGCCGGCTCCTCCACCTCGAAGTCGGCCAGCACGGGGAAGCGCTCCGAGAGAAGGGGCCACGGCTGCCAGCCCCCGCCTGCGCGGCGGCGGCCGGCGGAGGCGTCGCCCGGGACGCCCCTCCTCATCGTCCTCCTCCTCCTCCTCCTCCTCCTCCTCCTCCTCCTCCTCCCTCGTCCTCCTCCGACCTCGCCCCTCCTCCTCCTCCTCCTCCTCCTCCTCCTCCTCCTCCTCCTCCTCCTCCTCTTCCGACCTCGTCCTCCTCTGACCTCGCCACTCCCCCGCCTCCCCCCTCCTCCTCCCCCCTGCCTCCTCCCTCCTCCTCCTCCTCCTCCTCCTCCTCATCCTCGCCCTCTTCCTCCTCCTCTCCTCCTCCTCCTCCTCTCCGACCGCGTCCTCCTCTGACCTCGCCACTCTTCCCCCTCCCCTCTCCTCCTCCTCCTCCTCCTCCTCCTCCTCCTCCTCTTCCACCTCGTTCTCTCCCTTCGTCCTCCCTCGTCCTTTCTTGACCTTCCGGGGGGGGGAGGCTGTGCTCGCGGGGATGCCGCATATCACCGCTCAGCGGTGTGCTGCGTTCCAGACGCCTCGCAGGATGGCCCTCCTCCCAGCAGGTTCACGCTTCGGTGCGGATCGTTCGCGCGCCTTGCCTGCCTCGTTGTCGGCGTCGCCGTGGTCGTGGTGCGTGCTGCTCTGCTCGGGACATGACCCCTCACGCAGTGACCACCACCACTCCTCCCCACTCCTCCCCAGACCAGTGGGGGCTCGGGAAAGTCGCGACCGAGTTCTTGATCCTCCATAGATATCATGTGCGGTCGCCCGGGGCCACCTCAAGTCTCTCAGCTCCAGGTGGGACCCAGGTCACCAAGACCCAGCCATGACAATGCTGATGGTCCTTTTGCACTGGGGATGATGTTGAGGTTGGTAGTCTAATTGATGATGGCGCTTGTGATTGCAACGTAGATGGGGTTGCTGTGTGAATGAAGACGGAATGGTGGGAATGAAGACGCCCCTGATGTCTGCGAACGCGCCAGGGGGAGGGAGAAGGGTAGGATGGAAGGGAAACAAACAGGGAAAAGGATGAGGCGGGCGAGCTCTGGGAGCTTCTCCTCCTCCTCCTCCTCCTCCTCCTCCCCCTCCTCCTCCTCGTCCTCCTTCTCCTCCCCCACAGTTGTTCTATGTCCCGCCCTTCCTCGACATCTCACCTGCACCCGCTTGTAACGTCCTTCCTGTCCCTTTCTCCTCTTTATCGTCCACCCCATCACCTGGATCTTCCCCTCGTCTCCCCCTGGATCTCCTCCCCCTGCCCCCCATACCCTACCTCTACCCCGCCCCCCCCCCGCACCGAGGAGGAATAGGACGAAGCTGGTGTGCCTCCCACGGATGCTTTCTTGGGAAGACGGAAACACGAGCAGACGCGGGACGAGGAGAGAGAAGCTGCCAGGAACGGTGGGAGGAGGGAGGGAGGAAGCGAGGCGAAGAAGCCGGTCGATCAATCCACCACTGGGGGGCGGCCCCTCTCCCGACCTCGAGGCGGGCATGAGGCCCGCTAGGATCGGACGACGCCCGAGGCCGACATGTGCGATGCCGTCGGCCGAGCAGCGCCGCGGCCGACAGCCCCCCACCCGCGCTCCGCGGGCCGCCGTCGAGCCTTGCAGACGGCGTGCACCATCTGATGGACAGATTTCCCACGACCCCCCCCCACAGGCAGGAGAGGAAAAGAGAGAGGAGGGTAAGGGTAAGGAGAAGGAGGAGGAGGAAGAAGAGGAGGAGAGCCTCCCCATCCTCCCTCTGCCCCCGTCCTACCTGTGGTAATTGGTGGTGGAGAATCGGGCCATCACCATCCGCTTCGGACGCGCTGCACCCTCCGCCGAGAAGCCCCTCCGCGGCGCTGGACCGCGAGCCCGGCACTATAGGCGAGGGCCTCGGGTAAGGAACCCCTGGATGTAAGAAATCCAAAATCTGGAAGCGGGCGGAGCTCGCAGCGCGGAATGGCCATCGAGATAGCCGCCGCCCTTCTGAGGCCTCCTGGGCACATTCCTCAACCACCGTCCCACTGTATCTGTGGTGCTATGTCCGTGCGCTGCTGAGCTGGTGCATGCCTGCTCCGTCTGTGGCACTGTGCGTCACCCACCTGGCCCCAGACTTGTCCGACTCAAAAAAAACGGGCTTCGACTGCGCCCAGCGGCCTGGCAAGGTCTGGGCGGGGGCGGCGGAGGAGGAGCAGAAGGTCGAGGGATACTCGAACGAGTCAGGGGGGGACTCGAACGAGTCAGGGGGGGAGGGGGGCAACTGAACAGGTAGAATACCTCTCTTCTTGCTCACCTGTGCACGCAGCGCTGCTCAGTCGCACGACGAGCTGTCTCGCTCCCCCTTTGCTCTGCTTGCGTCAGCCCATCATCGGGCCCTCGATGATGTCGATCTGTGCGTGCAGCACTACCTCGAGATGGCCCATCGGCGCCATGCCCCTGTCAGTATAATCCGCTCCTGCCTGGATTGGATGACGATGGTCGTGATGATGGTGGTGGTGATGGTAGTAAAAATGGTCATCTTGATGCTCGACCCACTTGTCTGCACACTCCTCCTCGATGACCTTCCTGTTCCCGGCTCTCCACACTCCCTCCAGAACGATACTTTCCTAGTCCTCCTCTTGCTCTACCCTCCCCCAGGGAGGAGGGAGCAGGAGGGAGTGCATTAACAGCAGAAGTCGCTAAGCTTAGGTCGGGCATGTCATCCTACAGGCGGGCATTTGAAGACAACTAAAATGTAGCCAACAACATATTCAAACATTGTCAAAGATAGTCAAACATTGTCGAACATGTCAAGATCCTCCTCCCCAACCCTCTCCTACCTCCTCCTCCTCCTCCTGCTCCTCCTCCTCCTCCTGCTCCTCCTCCTCCTCCGTAGCCATTTTGGCTCAAGCGCCCAGTTGCCAGCCGGAGGGGGGCCAGGCCTCGCAGCGAGGCCAGGCGCGCTGCGCCGTGGCGTGGCGCCCTCCATCTCTCCGTCGGCCCACTCACGGATCCTCCTTTCCCTCCTCCTCTTCCCGGCGTGCCCCCGCGGGCCGATGGCGAATGGAGATGCAGGTGGCACGCGCGGTGCCAGCCAGGGTGGCGACCCCTGGACGTGCCGCTCGTGTGCTGCTGGCTACGCCAACATAGCCTGGCGCACGGAGTGCAGGCTCTGCAAGGCGGCGCGGCCGCCGCGCGCCGCTGGCACGATCGGCGAGGCCATCAACAAGGCCAAAGCGAAGGCCAAGGCCAAGGGGAAGGAGAAGGTCGTGGCGAAGCGCGTGCGCTTCGCCTCGGACGTGCCAGGGCCTGCCGCCGTCGCGGCCACGCCGGCGCCGTGGGCGCAGGGCGCGGCCAAGCGGGTAGCGGAGGAGCGGCCCAGCGGCAGCGGCGGCAAGGACGAGGAGGTTCGCCAGGCCCTCCTCCGCCACTTTGGCCCCAGGGAAGGCTGGTCGGCGGCCCTGGTCCAGGACTTCGGGGCCTTGGTGCCTGTGGTGGACGCGCCGCCGCCAGCGAAGCCCTTGGCCGAGCTGTCGCTCCAGGCCCTCCTGGCCAGGGAGGCGAAGATCAAGGGCCAGGTCAGCCGTGCTGAGGCTGCGCTGGTGGCCGTCCAGGAGGAGCAGGCGGCCGTCGCGGTCCGCGTGGTGGAGCAGGCGGACGTCCTCCAGAAGCGGCGCGACCAGCTGGAGGAGTTGGCCGAGGACGTGCGCGCTAGGAAGCGCGCTGACCTGGAGCAGCACAAGGGGCCGTCGCCCATGGAGGTGGGCGAGCCTGTGGAGGCCGAGGACTGCCTGGGCAAGGTGCTGCTCAAGGGCCGCGAGGGCCTCGAGGCGGAGCGGGAGCGGGTTCTCTTGCTCGGGGAGGAGGGCGGCGCCCTGCTCGCGATGGCCGCCGAGGCCCGCAGCCTCGTGGAGAAGCTCGCCGCCGCCGACGCCCGTGCTCGTGAGGCAGCGGCGGCCGAGCGGGCCCGCGCGGCTGCAGCCGCAGCTGAGCGGGTCGCCGCGGCGCAGGAGGCCGCCCCCGCGGCTGATGGCAGTGATGATGGCGCTGATGGTCCTCCTGGGGACCGCAAGCGCGTCGGCGACCTCGACTTCGGC